CAATTAAATTGTACATATAGTTAGTTAAACTGTACAATGAATCATTTGTGGTGTAATGGACTAGAACGTCGGCAATTCAGTACCGAATATTTGAATCTTAAGAGGGAACTACGCATACATTAAATCTAACCAATGAGTGCCAACAGACACAAAACTGTCAAGGTTGGATATCAAGTTATTGTTCATAGATAACTAAATTGACGTAGAAATTTATTGGCGTGTGGTTTAAACTGATTTGGCTTTCTGAGTTGAGTCGAACTAGGTGATAAAGAGGTCGGCTTCAAAATGGAGTGATATTTTCGAATCCTCCAATAAACGAAATATATCCATTTTTTCTGTTCACCTTAGCTGTGGTGATTGATTCTCTCCCTCCAAGTGATTTCCATTGATCCTTTCGATGATGTATTAGCTAATATTTATGGTAGTGCCACTCATTCCTTGTTGATTGATAAGTTTAATTCATACCAATATGTGAATTGACTTCTAATATATTGATTTGTATACTTGGTGTCAACTGTCTGATACATTCTTTATCTATTCCCCCTGTTTACGATTTTTACATTGACCTAGATAGAATCAGTTAAACCTCACACACAATGTGTGAGGTGATTATTTTCACCACGGTTACTTTTGCAGGTCGAAATTATTCAGATTACCATAATATGTCTGTGGTCGATCGGCTTGATTATCATAAATGACAGTCAACAAAAAACAAGCATAAATGCATGACTCTACATACTACTACTGATTGATTGAGATGAGTAGTAGTTGCCTGCCACTCACTCACATCATCAAACAGTAGTGTATGCTTGCTAGCACTAGCCACATGGTGGAAGTGATATCTAAACACCGGATGAATGTTTCACTCGTCGTTTTGGGACAAGCTGAGCATCAGCTCACAGAGAATTTCGGCCATCTAGAATTCAGCTGCATAAAATGAGCGTTTAATAATACATTTAGATAAACGACTTTTAATTACTTCAGAAATAGTGTCGCCTTTGAACGTCAAAATCATAAACAGTGTTTTCTTGGGAACTGTGATGTGTGGCTACGAACGGTTTCTTTCTTGATGTTTCTGTCGATAAACCTTCTAGGATATCCATTATTTAAGAGAGTTGTGAGAAGATTTTCTAGTTCTATGTATCTACAAAGCAGATTTCCTGAATTCTGGAGTATAGAGAACGCATAAAATTTCTCTTCCTACCTACTAGAGAAATCTATTAAATAATGGATATCCTGGACGGTTTATCGACAGAAACACCAAGAAAAAAACCGTCCGTAGCCAAATCACAATGCCCAAGAAGACACTGTTTATGATTTTGATGTTCAAAGGTGAGACTGTTGCTGAAGTCATCTGAAATTCCACTGATTTGAGGTGATCATACGACAGTTTACAATAAACCGTTGTTGAAACACCACCCCTCGAAGGAAACTCATCTTGAAACCGACCTCATATTTCCCGTTAAATACATGAGAGGCTATTTATTAATCTGCTCTGATTATAAAAACAACCATAGGAGAATCAGTAGTTATAATTATTTTTTTTATTGAACTTTCCAATATGTACTGCTACTACAGTTTATCAGCATTGTTGTAATGTATTGCTCTACAATAATAATAATAATAATAAAACAATAACGATAACAATAATAATAATGAGTGAATAGTGCAGAAATCGTAGTAACGTCATTTTTGTTATTATTAATGATAGTAGCAGTAGTAGTAGTAATCAGTAGTATAATCAAGTAACAATAGCCATTATCCAACATTAAATGTGTGTCTGTATCTTTTTGCCCGTCTATCGATTTGCCTGTTTCTGTGCTATCATAAATGATGATATACACACACCTACAGATGCTTGTTTGAATTGTCAGCTAAACACACAAACAAGGAGACAGTATTGAATCAACATAGTAGGATAGACAGGCGACAATAGTAATGGGTAGACGAAAGATAATGGGCAAACAGAGAGAATTAAGTAGGGGTAGTGAAGAAGAAAATGACAGGCATAAAGAAAGGCAAGACGGCGTAAAGAAAGGTGTGTATGTGTATATATGTATGAGTGAGAGGGAGAAAAGAAATGATGATAATAATAATGTGTTTGAAAACCATACCACCACCGTACCGTTCTGAAGAAACACAATATAACGTGTGCATGCGATAGAAAGGGTGACAGAGAGAAGAGAAGAAGAAAGTCGAGTAGGGAGACTTTCACACCTTGTTGTTGTAACGATTCAAAACGGAAAACAAAAGCAGGAAATGTGAAGAAAGTCGATAAAAAAGTGTGAAAACAGAGAAAAACAAACAAAAAAACAAATTCCCCTATATCGATTTATTGATATTGTTCTTCATATTGTTAGCAGTAGTATTATTTTTAATGATGATTAGAGGGAAAGGGAGCATGGGCATACACTTGCAGAACTGCCATATCGAGAGAGAGAGACGACTCATTCGAGTTAGTGTCCAACATGAGCAAAAGTATGTCATTACCAGCAATGTATAACAGGAAGTAAAAACAAACAATGTGGAAAAGAAACAAATAAACAGAATTAATCAGAAACTTTCGGTAGATAATTAATAATGGAGAAAGATTTCCAACATTCGTTTGCTCTACACTATAAGTATACTCTGATCTAAATAGCACAAAACTAATAGTAATAATAATAATAATAATTCTTTTATGTATTATATCTAAATGTATCTGAAGTACACGCTTTGATCTGTGTCTATCCGCCTATCATAGCCTATGCTTCTACCTAACTGTGTTTATTGTCTAACATGTCTACTTGTGTATGTGTGGGTGGGTGAATGGCGCTTTTTTTGAAAACCAGAGGAAGAGCTAACTTCACATACACACATACACCACCACCACGCAAACAATAGAGAAGAGAAACCACACACAAAGGAGGGGGGAAGGAATCATGGTGTTTGTTACATATGATGAGAAGGAGTAGAATGAGTGTGAGTATACACATATCAGTTAATAAACAGCAAGAATCATAATTATAATATTTTGAACAATAGTAATAATAATAACAGTAATCAAGAACAGTAATTATTAACTAGTAAACAACTGGTAATAACAATAATTAATAATATAAATAACAAAATGACAAAATATTGTAACCGATAGTCATTGAATTACTCAGCTACACATTTTGCACAGAATTAAAATCCCTACTCTTGATGGATAACAACATAACTGTGAATTTTACACACAACTAATTGATTAGTTGAGTAGACAGACAGACAGACGGACAGACACACACACACAGAAAGGATGAACAGGTATGACTCATAGTGAATTGTCATAGAAACCAGCGAAGAAAAAAAATTGATAGTCAACGAAAAAGCATAACGAATACTACGCAATTTCTTTCTTACTACAGGAAACCGTATGTGAGTGAATATGTATGAATAAATAAATATGCGTAAATAGAGAATCTAAAATTATTAGCATTATTATGTGAATACTGAGCCTAACACGCCTCTACACTGTTGCCACGACTACCACACCACTCCTAGTAACAATCAGTATAAGCATGATCATACTAGCACTACTACCACTACTACTACTACTGGTGATAATAAAAGTAGTGATGTATACAGTTTTATGTTTTCTTTTTGTCCTTCTTATTGTTGATGATGTGGATGACTAGATGCATATCATTACTAGGTGTAAGTATGCGTCAATTTGTGTGGGTGTTGGTGTGCGTGTGTGTGTATGTGCGTGAGTGAGTGAATGCACACGTTATAATTCCGAACAAACCATTCTCCCATATACTCCAAAAAAAACTAAGGAAATGTTCCGCTGAGATAAAAGAAACAACAGAAGAACCGAAAAGCAACTTAACCAACCAATCAATCATTGGAAATGATGAAACGTACAATACAGATAGACAGATCAATCATAACAAGGGAAAGATGGAAAAATGAAGATCCTGATGAACACAATGAAAAAAAAATGACCTAACAACATACACAAACATCTGAATCTCTAAAAAAAACCCAGTTATAATGCAGTACAGTAGTAAAATACAGTCGTATATGAATTATTATTTTAATTATTTCCTTTTTTCTATCTATTTATTATAGTATTGATTATTTATGAATAGAAAATGTCTAAGGAAAACAAACAAACAAACAATCGATCAATCAGTCAACTAAAGAGAACAAAACAAATTAAACATACAAATACATGAATGAGGATGCGAAGGTGCCCCCTTCCACTGAAGTGTGCATGTCTTTGTATATCATCCCCGGGAGATGAGAGTGGGGGAACATTCTAGAGATTTATTGATTGTAATTTTTTCGACTGTCAAAGTTTCTCCATTCCAGCAGACAAACAGTCACATATACAGACACACACACACAAACGTTCACAACAGATTTCGACTTTTTATAGTTAGTTTTCAATGATTTATCGTAAATATTGGGCTGTGTTAATATTTTTTAAAATTTATCTAAAAGGCGCTAGATGCGTGAGTGGTTGGTTAGCAGTCAGAAAATGATGATGTGGTATTATAGTAAGGCGAATAGAATATCTGTGAATACTATTGTCTTCTATGTTGTTGAGAATCAATTAACAATAAGAATAACAAGAATAATTAATAACCAGTAAGTGATTTAGTAAAAATAAAAGGACGAATTGCTTGACTGAGTTTTAATTGAATACTCTTATCTAGCCACCCACTCACACGCCCACACACATACATGCATACAAAAACGTTTACAGAATAATAAGGTCTTGCAGTACCAGTATAAGTAGTAATAGCAGCAGCGGCAACAGGAGTAGCAGGAGTAACGATTCAAACAAACAAAACAGAAACAGAGGAGAACAGAAGCAAAACTCGAAAGGATACGACTGTTTAGTGTACACAATGTATACCTCTGCCATCTTCACAGACTAGTCATTACTTTTTTTTGTTCATTTTATTTTATTCAGTTACTTATGTACATACGTACGTATGTATGTGTGTATAGGTATAATTTGAATGTGATTAAATGCGTTGTACATTTTTTCTCTGAGATAATTCTGGTGAGCCTTGATTCGACGGTGGATTGATAGTTATCTTCGGAGTATCCAATAGAGGATGATTACTACTGGTATCATTATCATCACTGGTGGTTGAAGGTTTCAATGACGACGATGACTTCTTTGCATCTTTTGGATCAATACAAAATACAACTGGTGGTTGTTGTCGCTTTGCCGGTGATGATGATGGTTTATTAACATCATCATTATTATTAGTATTACCACTGGAAGTATTCGATAAATGATTTGTTTCAGTTGCTGTTTGATAAGACTCTGTAGTTTCATCATCTGCCAGTGTTGTCATTCCCCCCCGAGGTGGTGATGAGGACGACGAAGGTTTTTTCCCCTTACGATGTCGTGTTTTTGTATCTTTTGGTTTATTACTGTAAAAAGAAAGTAACGAGAAAGGGAAAAATAATCACTACAAGGATGCCAAAAACTGTTAAACAGCATTTTCTAAACATCATCACAATTTAGGTGGCGAATAATTGTGATCTTTTAACAACAGGATCTCAAAGGTACTCAACAGTGGATGACAAGGCCTATTTTCGTGTATTGTTATCAATAGGCGAGTAAATAAATCGGTGTAGACGTAAGATCATTATCCCCTGGAGTGGCGTATCCTCAAGTGGGTTACGATCCCACACTCTCGGCATGCCTAGTTTGTCATATAAACTCTGATAGTGTTTTCGTGACGTCTTGTCGACAGTTTTTCCAAAGATGATGCGATATTTATGAGATCTAATTGTGTGCAAGGTTAGAAAAGGGCTGCATGGATCTCCATACCACTGGATGAGGGAGGGGGAGAGATCTCGAGTGATTACACACCATGGGATATTGCATGGCCGTCTGGTCTTTCAAGAGAGATTGGAATAATTTTATTGTGTTCTCTTTAGAAATCAGTGTATAATTATCTAGTCGGTGGGTGTATCATTATGTCGGAACGGCGGTTCCATGCTAGAATGCTCGCCAACTACGCGTTACATGGTCCAGGTTCGATTCCTGGCTGACGAACACACTCTTAAACCTCGCTTAGCCGATAATAAACCTAGACAAGAGGGAAGCGTGGGCAACCGTATTCCGTAAAAACAACACCACTGCTACTGAAACTTAGTGGGTTGCAGCTTGAAGTGAATTAAAAACACTATCTCAAAGGTATTCGAAAACGACAAGGCTAGTTTGCGATTCATATTTCTTGGTAAAATCGCTGGAAACCAGGACAGAAAACATCAAGCTGTGCGGTGTGCTTCCATGGTTTTCAACTGATATCTGTTTGTGACTATGTCAAGGTCAATTGCTGGAAAATCAATTAATCGGATAAATTGTCGATACTAAAAAAAGAGTAAAAATTTGGGAAAAAAGAAAATTCGAAAATGCATTTCAAAAGTTACTTGTTTGGGGAGCATTTCATTCTATTTAGGAGTCACGTCAACTACTCGATGTACCTGCTTTCCACATACGCATTATTCAACTGGGCCAATAGACGTTTGAAGCGATGGGCGCTTTGGTTTCAGTCTCAGTAAGAACACCATCACTCACCACGGGATGCAGGTTTATCTAGCTAACAAAACTCGCAAAGGACGGAAAGCGTGAGTCTCGGATTCTGCTGTTAGTCACAACGAAAGAAGCAGCTTCGAGTTATTAATCCTAGTGATATTGAGGCATCTGTCCAACGAACCAAACATGAGGCTGATCAGTTAGGTTCAGATAGAAATATCAACAAGAAATTCCGTCGCAGACCTGACTGACTGGAGGATTTATATTTCCCAGAATGTTTTTAGAGTCATCCTAAATCTGTCGCTGTCGAAGCAGACACCATCAGATTTTGCAAATGAGCAACAACATTCTCACTGAATACCCATTGAACGATCCTATGAATTACAACTGTCAATCACAACTTCTATAAACTAATGCTAGTATCATCCCTCAGCCTGTTAGTAAGACAATGAGTTTGTAGGTGATTGACAGAGAATGCATCCAAGTCACCAGGAGACTGACTCCCATTTGATGAAGTTTTCAATTCTTCTTTCATTAAGACTAAAACGAAACCTAACCTATTTCCCTATTTCCATCAAATACATTATTCGACAAATTATGTGTTTTTAGCGATTCCGATTAATTGCTGTGTAGATTTCGTGTCATGAACAGGCCAAAGTCAGTCAGAGAAAATCACTGAAAACCTCCTAATTTTGGAACCTTTAACAACCCGCAACCGATGCACGAATTCCAACTAGCCAGGGATTGAACCTAGGATACCAAATGGGTTGGTTGACGGATGTCCATTGTTTCATTGGTTTCCAATGATACCCTCTAACTGACTTGTTGGTTCGTATGACGCTAAAGTCTAGATTGAAGTGAATCTATCATCTTTGAATTTGGTTGTCCTCTCTGAACTGGCTGATGATCGTCTAATCGACAAGCTTAGACAACATTTTCAATGCAGACTTCAATATGAAGCGAAAATTATTTGAATTTTTTCTCCATGAATGACTATATATAATTGTATCTCTTGACAACCTTTGTCGTGATTGATTTTTTAATTTGCAACTGTATTGATCATTCATCAAAAGAGTTCAAACACAGTGTAGCACTCCAGTGCAGGAGAAAATAGAAGAGAAATATTTACCGCCTTCTAGTGAGAAGTCGTGATCAGTAGGGTGCAGCAGGTCGGGTGTGAGGACAAATACTCGCCGAAGACATTGGCTGGGGGTCGTGCTATGTCGTGAATTGGCAGAAGTTAGAATTCATGGGCCATTGGATCGGGTCCCAGTGGCTTAATGGTATACGAGCTCGCTAGCCTTGTAACCAGAAGGTCCTGGGTTCGAATCCCGGTGGGTGCGTACTGATGAAGAGTCCCAAACTAGGACGAAACAGCTGTCCAGTAATCCCAGGTTTTCCAATGGTTCTCTAACTAATGTCAGCTCATGATGAAAATCCTGTAACAAAAAAAGTCTAAACTCAAAATGAACTACCAGCAAGAAACTATCCTTAAAAACCTCAAGAAAATTCATTTTAGCATATAAGGGAAGAGAATGTTTCTGAAATAGCAGTTGGAATACTAAAACCATTCGATAAAGATATCACACATAAATCAACACAATAACTTCGTCATTCAATACTATGCAGACCAAAAGACCCAACAGCAAAACAATACAAGATCAATGTCATCTACAAAATAAATTGCAGAAAGTGTGTGTATGTGATAAACACTACATCGGTCAAAGTGGGTGTGTCCCCTTCGATCCCCACTGCAAGTTCAAAAGACCATAAAGTAAATAGCTGTCGAAAGACACGATATGCATATTCTTTTATATTGATGCATGCATACAACTATGAATACCAATTTGACTGTGTAAATGTAGAAATTTTAAGCAATAGAGACAGTGATTTGCAGAAGCCTTAAGGACAAGATCCCGCCTCTGACCACTTCTATGTGCATATATCAATTCACCTGCTGCTGTGGAGCCAGGTACATCGATCGGTCGACGCGCATTCTGTCCAAGAGGATTCAAGAACACTATCCAGCATGGTTGCGAAAAGGCAGTAGTGGTGCAATAAGGAGTGCGATAATTGAACATCTGGTTAACACTGATCATTCCATTTCAACAAACGCCTCCTTCAAAAAAATCTACGGAGTTAAGAATAACCTACCGAAGGCAATACAGTTTCATTTCCTTTGTATTGCTGAAGCTCTGGCCATTGACATAGAAAAACCGGAGCTGTGCATAGAAAAGAGAATTACTCACCCACTTCTATTATCATGGTGACAACTTTGTATTCATTTTGAACTCTTACGTAATTTCGCATTCTCTACTTTGTTCCTATGTGTATCCTGAGTACAACTCAATCATCAAACTATTCATATTATTACGTAACTCCTTTTTAACATCTGCTTGTGACAACTCATCACCTTTGTTTTCAGACTATTTTCATTAGCACCCAATTTTCTTGACCGTTTTATTACGTAATTCTACACTGAAAAATGCCAGGGAATTCCTAGAAACCTGGTTGTGCGGATGAGTCAGCGAATCACAGACATTATTATGGATCAAATTCATCAACCAATAAAAAATAAGCCTCAAATGACAAATTGCGAATCCATTAGAAACGACTAATAAGGATGTAAATTAACAGTCAATCACGACAAAGGTTGAGAGGAGATACAATCATATATACCACTCATGGAGGAAGAATTCAAATAATTTTCGCTTCATATTGAAGTCTGCATTGATAATGTTGTCTAAGATGGATAGTGAAAGCTTGGCAATTAGACGATCACCGACAAGCTTAGAGAAGACAACCGGATGAAAATCAAGGTTCCTAGGGTAGAACCCTATGAAACTCTCAAGACCGACAACTGGACGAAGATGGTTGGATATAGAACTGCCTTCACTGTAGGATTCCCTCACGGCTGAAAACTCCTCCAACTATGAGAGAAGCGGACCAGCAACACTTGCTCCCACCTGGCTTACTTTGTGAAAGAGAACACCATGCTGCTAAACGGTGAAAAAAAGCCTACACGAATTTGAAGTAGAACAAAAGCATACAGCTCAGCTCAAACCCCTATTATTATTGTTATTATTATTATTATTTCAGAATCCCTATATCTATTTGTTACGTGTTATTTTTAGAACAAGAAAAATCGATGTGTGTATGCTTTAGTTTTGGCTTGTTACTTTTCTACAATTATAGAAAAATCTAATTAAGCCCTAATATCTCATAATATTGAGGAGAAGAATTTAGATTTGAATAAAAGAAGAAAAAAACAATCTGAAAAACGACAAGAATTGGAACAAGAAGAGAAACAAACAAATAAAATGAATAGATGTACTCAAGGACACTGTCGGGCCTGGATATATAGCCCGGAAAAAGAATATATCCGGTGAAGTTAGAACACTCAGCTCCATATACAAGTTTGTGAAGCGAACATAGCGTCGGAGAGGAAGGTGCGTGGACTGGAAATAAAGTGGATAGCATAAGTTCGGCATAACAGCTTAAACAAGGGCTTCGTCTAGTTCATGAGTCTTCAGTAGTGTGCACCCGAACGACCCCTTCACCTGAGTTCCAACCCAGACCAGGAACTTCAAGGTTACGAGGCTTAGCTCGCTCACCATTCATCAGCCACTGGGACGGAATCCAATAATGACCCATGCATTTTAACTTCTGTCAGTTGCTGGTGGGGTAGTCACAGTTACGTACTGTTGAAAACTCCCAAAAGCTTGGACAAAACAGTTGTTCAGTTCTCCCTGGTGGTTTTCGAACTTGAAACCAATCCAATCCCTACAAACCAACACTTGAAAACTAGTGTGTTACACAAGTTACACCGAAATATAGACCTCCAAATATCGTACATCGATTCTCAAAGTGTACTGCAATGGCAAACTATTTTAGTTATGTATATAAAAATTAGGCGTTGTAGCGGAATTTTCGAAAACCGGGGAGCAATGTACCTCTATCTGTGTTATGATTTCGACAAGTATGAAAAAGAATGCTGACTGACGATAATGAACTCTTGATAATTTCCTAGTCAATTATTACCTGAACCGTAGAAACGAGTAAATTCCATGAGACTCACACAACAGGCTAGGAAACATGTATTTCCAAATAAAGTCCGAGAGACACAGAGAGAGAAAGTGACCAAGAGTACAAAAATAGGTGACTATATATATTGATCCAATCGTAAGGCTTGAATAGTAGGAGCTTAGGAGCATGCTGGATGATGATTGGTTGGAGTCCATCATGTGACAACATGTGATTTGTTTTTATCTGATTAACAGAATAATGAAATAAACTGTGGTTGCATAACAATCTGTTTCATCCTATAGACTGGCAATCTTCAGAAGTTTGCACCCACAATCCTACCAGAGATCAATGACTGCTAACTGATGCGTTGATGCGTAACATTCATTGCAACGGAAATATTGTTTGGAAAACCCCTTCTGGGTGTTCTAATCACAATATTTATACATATTTTGGACGTTTCAACTAACAATGTAATTATTATCCATTTGACATATGCAAAACACATGTTGATTCGATCCTTATTATTTGTCCTTGTCCTTGTTTAATCTCTAATTTTAATTTTTTTAAAATTTTAATGTATCTGCGGGAGCAGTTACATTGGAAGAACAGAAAGAAGGGCATATCTACGATTTTCTGAACATGTACCAAAAAGCTTACGTCTAAAGGGAACAAATGCTTTATTTAAACAGTGCCATCTCCAGGCATCTCCTCGACACGGGTCATGAGTTGGACGTCGAAAAGTCGTTCAAAATTATCAATAAGGAAAAGAGCTCAATTCTCCTTAAGTTTGCTGAAGCCATTTCCATCAAGCGCCTGAAACCTGATTTATGCGTTCAGAAAGAAGCAGTTATCAGTCTTTCTTTGCCCTGGTAACTGGATATTTTTTATCCGAATGCAAAATGCTGAAAAGTTTTCATTGTGTATGATTATTATTGTTCGGAATAGTGTTTAATATTGCATATATATATGTATATATTATTAGTGTATGCGTATATTGATCGATTGATTTTTGTTTAAAATGAACTCTGTGCAAGTATGTTAAATTGTTTTTGTAGATACATTTAATAATATCTTTGCCCTGTAAGCAGCTGACGAGAAGGCAACGAAATAAAAGATGGTACCACTTCATTCTGCTAAAATTGTAGTTCTTGTTTTGTCCAAATTTTAATGCTTCTCGTCGTGGCTGTGTGTACAGTGATAATGTGTTGTATGATGTGATCTTGGTTTGAGTGAATGAAGGTCATTCTGATCTTGAACTGCTGGCAGGAAGTGTTGATGTGTGATTCTTGTTTACAGAGTTTTTGATTCCACCATTTCTTAATTCTAAATACTCGTTTGGTACTAAAACTGGACTGTATAGCTGCCTAACGGCTCTTTTTAGGTAATTTTAAGTTTTGGATGTTATTTTCGTTGTTTAATTAAAAGAGAACCGCAAAATATTTCAAGAATAATCGTATTTTACCCGCTTTGGAGTGTTTCGTGGATGTGCGTGTCAAGGAAGTTTTGCCAGCTATATGGTAAAACGCTTTTGGTAGCTACATTCAATACAGAAAGTAGAGATTGGGAGTTCTCTCTATCACAATCACCAATACAAACACGCACATAGAGACACATAGTAAACCTACTATTTGTTCGTTTCATTGTTTATATCTGTACCGCTCAGTTGGCGCCAAATAGACGTCTTCGACATTTCTTCAGTAATATTAATACGCTAGAGTAAAAAAAAACGAAAAATACGATGTAATAATAATAAGGAAGACAAATGGAAAAGGAATTCACACATGAATAAGCAAATACAACCGCAAGTTGGTCGGTGATCAAGACAGAAAATGTTTTTGAAAAAACCCACAAACGATATGACAAATTATAAATTTACAGAATGAAGCGTTAGTAGTGATGATTAGAAAAGCTTTGTGTGCATATAGGAGTCTGTGTGTGTGCGTATGTGGTTGCCCATAGGGCGAAAGTTGACTTTTTGCAATATCTGAAAAAGAAGGAGCATTAGCGTTGCGTAACCATGGTATCCAAGGGGCAAATGCTTGATGCCGATGACACATACACACACAGTATTTTTGGGTCAGGTTTCTGGAATTGCGTCCGCAATAAGGCTTTACCGCCAGCTTAAGACAACTGTAGGGTGAGTTGGGATGTATGATTTTCGAGGAGAACCTTTTCTAAATTCTCTCCTTCCCCAGAGTGGAGAGGAAGTAAAGATGGTTTGCTGTAGTTACATACCTACTCCTCAGCAGTACACCTTCGCTTACAGACTCCAGCATAGTGTAAACAAATAAGAATGAAATGGTAGTTGCTTTTAGTCTAACAGCTATCCAATCGACTTTTATGGCATCGTAGGACCTGCAAGAATATTCGTTCCAGCCAGTATAGATCGTTAGGTCATAGCGATATATGTCAATCAAGGTATCAGCTTTCAGTCACGTCTTAATCTACAAAAATACTGTCTATAATATATCTCGATTTCATTATGGATTTTCATCACGAACTTACACAATTTAAAAGACCATTGGAAACCAGAAGCACCGGACAGCCACCTTTCAGTTTACTACTAATCGACCCCAGGATGAATACTCTGAAGTTCTAATGACAACTTGTAGCCGGTCAGTTCTTCCTTGTTAGGTGTGAAGCTTACGTTCATAGGATGGTATTGCTTAAGAAATAGCGGTATACTGAGAATTGATCGAATTTCCGCCACGGCACCTCAGCTCGTAAATTATATGTTCTCGGTTTCATCTCTGGTAAAGATAGTCAGTGCGTAATCCCAGTGTGTCTCGAACAAGGATGATACAATTGTCTAGTGCTCCACAATTTCCGAATGACTCTTCAACTGATATTACTATTATTAAAATACAAACCGATCACATTATGGGCACTAAGACATCCACCACACAAACTCAGTGTGTGCCGGCAAGGGTTGCGTAACTCTCCAAAAGCCTACACAGAACCAGGTGGTTGTCTTGAGGAGGCACTCCCACCAAGCCTTTTACTTGAAGCGTGATACACAAGGCAGAGGAGCAGCCTCAGCAGCTGTGTTCCTACAGTTTCCTGTGATCAAAACAAGTTCGAACAACATTCTATCCTTTGTGATTCTGGAGTTCATGTACGCCATAAGTTTGTAATCATGATTTCCCACCTCACCTAAGTAGATCTGCATGTCCACTGGTTCGGTTGTAAGCTCAAGAGGTTAGCATTCGTCTTTTCACTTTTGCGGGGAGCACAAAACGCCGCGAAAAGGCAGTCAAGAGAACTTACCTAGCAGTGACTTTAAGAGCATTGCGACAAAGTGTTCATTACCTTCGTGACCTAATGACGTTTCAAAGAATATCATGATTGCAAATAAAAGAAAAGCTTGGATTCCAACAGAACTAATTTTTATTAACAGACTGAGTTTTTAAAGTGGAACTTCGCACAGTAGTGCACCATCTCAGGTTTCCTCACTCCGTATCAAAAACAAAGGTGACTGACTGGTTTCAACATAGAACTCGGTGCAGAAGTGCAGCACCTCGAGTTGCCACTCTCCCTCCATGTAGCACACAAAGCAAGAGTAGAGAGTGAAGTGAAGTTCAGAAGACAGATAATAAACAGAAGTGTGAGTGAGGGAAAAAGAACAGTAATATGGAAAAACAATTGAGTTTCATTGGATGTGACAAATCATTACAAAGAGTGGATACATCTGGGCCAGCCACTTAGAACGATTTTGTGCCATATCACCAATTGTTTCCGACCATTGGTTCTTAACATCCTGAGGACTCCAACCAGTTAGGAAGTCTACACCTCCCTACGTAGCTGGGTGACTGAAACTAATTGTCACGCATTTCATGGACTGATGAAGGCATGTTTTCATCAGACCACCACTGTCTCTTTTACAATCTGATCAATCCTATGTCAGCTAACATTCCCTATCGGTCGAGGAAAACGATAGCTAGGCTATGCATGTATAACACATGTCCTAACCATCTCAATCGACTCACCTTAACAACATCACCTATTGATTTCCCTTGCCACATACCTATCACTCAATGCCTAACCTCAGTATTACTCACCCTACTACACCACCTAACATGGCAGATACAACGGAGACACCTATATATGAACAAACATAGATAACCAGGTTTTTCATGTTTCCCACTTCCAATGGCCATGTCTCACTCACAGACACAAAGGAGGACGGAGCGAACAGTTGAGAAGTACACTCATCCTTTCATCCATAGCCAGCCGGATGTCACATCTATGCAGAAGATGACGGAAGTTGGCCAATTCCACTCCAGTCTTTTGTATCCCTGCTGAGATTTCGTCAGCTATCAGCCCATTGGGACTGATCCGACTCCCCAAACAAATAAAGTTGTCAGTCAATACACCCTACCACTTCAATAAAGGAGTCGATATAATTCAGTCCTATAGCAGCAGCATCTTACATTTGACAGCCGGAGCGAACCACAAGCCAAATATTCGAAGACTGCTGCTCGTCAAGATGTTCAGAAGACTCTTCATTTTATCACTGTCTTCGCCTAAGAGGAATTTATCATCCGGATATTCTAAGTCAACGAGATTATTTCCTGGTAACAATTCAATCCCTGAGTCACTGAAGTCAATTAGGCTAAATTCCATTAGTACATCTTTGATGAATTTATTCATCACTTCAGATGACAACTCTCCATAAGCTCTTACACAGCTGCATGAGTTTGAGAGTTAAGTCCCTTGATCAGTGCGATGTATTTTCTAGGCACTCCCTTCACTGCTAAACATTGCCATAGTACCTCTCGGTGGACGAAGTAAAACTCCACCTTCAGGTTAAGAAATATGGCAATTGCTGGACGCCAGTAAGTATGCCTATGTTCCATAGTCCGTCCAAGGATGAATACACCCTCTTCCCAGTCTAAAACCTACCCGCTTCTCTCACCTTTCTTCCTCCCGAGAGTCACAATCTACACATAATTATTCAGTCTAGAACTTCAGATGAAATATTAGTAGTCAAGCTTACCGACCTGTGATTACTACAGGGACTATCTCTGATTTCCACACGTCGCCTAATAAACACTTTGGTTAACCCAGACACAAATATGTCACCACCGTCCTTAAACACTTACTGCTAAGGTAATCCCATCAAGTCATGCTAATTCCCTTCGTTTCAAACTAGAGACATCATCCTTCGTCACCTCAGTTAAAGATGGACGACCAATGTATGTCTACATCCCATTCAGGAAGGCGTTGAATGCTGGCCCAGTTGAGCGGGGTTGTAGGTCAATTAAACTGCTCTTCAAAATGATCCTTACAATGTTTCAGTCGCCTGTGCTCAGAGCGAATCAAGGCGCTATTTTTACATTACATTGTTTCGCTTGTCATTCGCCATCTGTTTCCCTCATAAGCCTACATACTTGTCTGGTGTTACCTATCGTCGATGCCTTTTCCACCTATTTCGCTACTGCTGCCAACCACTGTTCACGGTCGTTGTGAAGAGGTTTTGTTAGTTTGCATTTGATCAGCTTTAGACATTCATCATATTCGGAGCCTGCTGCAATCAGTATGTTTGAATCTATCAGTTCGGGTCGAGTAGCACAAATCCACTGGCATATTCTAACCTTTGGTTTTAGCTTATCAACAGCCTTCACCGCTGAATATTCAGTCGTAAGCATAAAATTGCATCGACCAGAACAAAGAATTCAAAACTGCAATATTACTACTACCATATATAGGGAAGAATCATCGCAAACTGTATGTAGCCTTTTAATTCAGTCTACAATTAAGGTGACATTTAACCCAACCACCAATCAATCAATCAATCGACTCAATCTCAGTCAACCAGCGATAAAATTTGCCACCTTAAAAATCCAAAACACCCAATTAGACAAATTATTAATAAAATTTACCAAATACCATATAATCACTGTGAGGTCAATTACAACGTTAGTGTCAGCCTCCTACCTAGTAGATCGAGGCCATTCATCATCTCAGCGATCTGAACACAGAAATTTAGCTAGATGACAGATCCAGTATGATTGACGCCACTAAGATAAGTAATCCTAAAACAAAAGGTGGCCATTGCAGCAAAATCAATCACTTGCATGTCATCGCACAACATTAATAGCCAGATGGGAAACATAACTAAAGAGGAAAGAGAAAGTGGTCAATCACCACCTAATTGTTTCTTCACCAAGTCAAGACGTAAAACACATGCAATAAGAATCACTTAACAACAACAAAAAAACAAGAGGGATTTAGAAAAGACAATATAAAGCGAATTACGTGTGATATGAATGCGGGCAATTAAACTGTTCTGTGGAAACATCATCCAGTTACAAAGAAATGTATATAAAAGACAAAATATTCAAAGGAACCATAGTTATCAGAAGTGTACGGAATAAAAAGAATAAGTAGATGGAGAAGCATAAAGAGTTAATGGATCTGGGAATGAATTTATCTGAGCAACTGATAAGGGTTTTTAGCCAGTCAGTCTTCATCCCCACCGGCGGTGGTTCTTAGCATCTCAAGCAACCCAATGAATTAGTCTACAACCTCCGAATACTTTATAGACTGATGCCAGGATCTGATTCGACCACACCCGCACCACCACTCAATCTTTTCCAACCTAATCCAATATAAGATAACAGAGCTCGACGAGGTGCGTGTGTCCCTTAGATATCAACAAAATAATAAACAGAGAAGGGAAATATAAATCATCGAAAGCATAGCTTACCTTTTCTTCTGATCTGGAGAATTTTTTGTCTTGTAAGAGATTTGTATTGCTTGAAAACTTGGCATTCTGAAAAAATTAATAAGAAATACCAAATTATCAGAATAATCAGATAGGTAAGAGAATAGTCATTAATTATTTACAGGGATTTGGTGATTACTTTCAAGGTAGATCATGAACCAATAGCAATTAGAGAATCATTGAAAACCACCAAGGGGTAGTGAAGAGCTGTTTCATCCCAAGTGGGACGAAACACACCTCCAAGGAATCCACTACTTAGCCACTTTTAATCAACCTAGTAAAAAACCGAAATCACAAGTTAAATGAGTTTCCCGAAATTTCGACAGCAATTTCAAAGTATGATGATGTCACTAATCCAGACTAGTAGTTAGTGAAAGAAAACACACTGGAAATAACCTAAGCTGATTGACTACACTATCAGTTTTGTTACAAAATGAATCGCACTCAACACGCACACACACGCATTGACAAATAAAATAAATTAGATCAAAAACACAATAACTTACTTTACCAAAATCAGTAGCACTTGGTGCAGAAGCAATTGGTCGCGGAAATGGTTTACGTTTAGTACTTGGCAGAATTTGATCTAGCCATTTTAATTCTTCCTGAGTAAATATAAAATCTAATCCTTTACGTATAAAGCACATTGCCAATACCTGTAAAATAAAGAAGAGGAAAAATAAGGAAGGCAAGAAAATAATAAGGATATTATGTTATTTTTAATATCAACTGTCTTGTAGAACACATAGAGTCTCAGTGGTACATCATCTTCGCTGCACACGGTTCTCAGCATACTTCACAACTGCCTCACAAACTCTCACTCCCATCATATAAACTTCTCTACATCAACCTAGGATGGCTGAATCGTCGCTTCACTTTTTTGGTTTGTGCTTTGACTGTCTGACGGACATGTAATGTGACTTGAAGGTCTGTATCCTTGGTATATGTCCTATCGATCTCTACTTCCTACTGCATATTTTTCCAACGAATAGTCTGGTGACTGACAGAGTACCTTCCTGTTTGTCTTTTCTGACCGATCGTCTAGTCTCCAGTACCATGATCACTCGAAAGTGGCTGATATTGAAAATCTCTAGTAGCTTGCTAAAAATACTTTAGATGACCAACGTTTGCCAAGTCTCTGAACCACACAGAAGCACTTTTCTTTGTGTCAAATTTTATCACAGATTGATATCGGTTAGAGAACTACTGAGTACCAACTGGGAGTACCAAACAGCTGTTTCGTCCTAGTTCGGGATGTATCGGCAGTACGGACTCACCACAGGCGTCCGAACCCAGAACCTTCCGATTGCGAGGTAAGCTCGTAGACCATTCAGCCAGTGAGACCCACCTCACTGACCGACCAACCCATGAATTCTAAATTCTACCAATTCGTTAGGTGGACAATATATGAGTGAAACTTTATTCAGTAAACTAATGCAAAACATAATCTATTTTATATTTCCCCTCAAGTTAACATGCATTTTCCATTAAAACTTCATTTTTTTTTATTTGTTTACTTTTTATTTTCCATTTGTTCTATAAAGTGGATAAGAAGAAACGGTCATTCACTATGCCTCATGCACACAAACACACGTGCCAGCGAAACCAAATTTAGAGAGAGAGGAAACCATACTATCGACAACCACTGATGTTAACAACACATAAAGTAACTGCAGTACTTGGGGACCCGGATCCGAATCTCAAAAAGGAAAATCCGTTCTTTGAAGATTGCAGATGCACGCCTTTCTGACAAGTGCTAACAAGCGCGAAACATGGGTCCAAGGTTTCTTGCTAATTGCCTGGAGATGCAGTTTATTTGCTTAAGTCCTCGGATTTTATTCCATAAGTCCCTGCAGTGAATTTGCTTTAACTTGCGTGACTACGTGAAGAGTAGCATCAGCGATAACACAATAAGTATAACCAAAGGCTTGGAACAGGTGACACAGATGAGGACTAGGTCAAAGTCAGCCAGGATATGGAAAGCAAGATAGGCGTTTATTACTCTGATAAAATCAGTGTCGAGACCTACTAAAACACTCAACACAAGGATTAAGATTCGAATTTTCAACACTAATGTGAAGTTAGTGTTTGTATATGCTTCAGAGTTTTGACTAGCACGTCAAAGAAAGCATTTCCGACAGACTGAAAACTCCTATCGACACCTGCCTTTCCTCCATAACGTAGATCAGATGTGCGACTTTAAAGGATAAACAACAAGGGACTCTGGTGGACACAGAACCGACCGAAAATCTATCGCTAAACTAATAGGCAGAAGAAAATGGAAATGGATTGAATATATTTACTCTGAGAAAACCACTGACTGACATCACACGCCAACCAACACTAGACACTCATCAAGTGGGAGCTGAATGGGAAGCAACGAGTTGGGCATGCGTCCGAGGGTGACATGAAGAAGATCATGTGAGGAGGAAGAGGAGGAGAAGGAAATGAAAGCTAAAGAATAGTAGTCGTGGAGTCAGATGAAAGTGTGATTGCATAGTGCAGAGAACACAGTAAAGGTGTGCTGGTGAAGTCCTATGTTCCCATCCCTATTGCACGGAATGAGTAATAATGATAATATAACAACAGCCTGGTACATGAAATATTTGATCCAGTTAGTTAACTAAGCAATAAACTAACTATCCAACGCATACGTTAGGAAATAATAAAAAGAAACTTACCATAATTGGGAAGAGTATAGCCAGTACATCAATAGATTTTATAACCCATAACATAACTAAACACGTAACTTGTATAGCAGTAAATAAATGAACTCGACGTAGAGAAACATGTCTGTAATAAGACGAAAACAGTAATGAAAATCAGAGAAAAAACAGGAAACAGTATTTAGTAAATAAATAAAAAAATTGTTAGATGGTTGCAGGTAATCGGCAGGAAACCTTGGATGTCGGTTTCACACTTATGATGACACTCTTCAAAAGGGCGTGTGCATATGAAATCTTCAAGGAACTCATGCCTCTTCTGAGGTCGTAAGCCAAGTTATACCACTGAGCTAATCGGTTTCACGACTGACCCCTGTATGACTTTAGTGGATAATTTCACTAGGTAGTAACTAGTCTCAAGTGTCTGGACCTTGGTTTTTGGTGAGGACTGAATTCTATCATTTAAGCTGACAGTGTGGCCACAAAGTTAAATGGTTCGGCATCGTGCTACACTCGACATTGTTGTTGGATAAGATTATTTGATATAATACATATTCTGTGATACAACATTGACAACTGGATGATTTTCCGACCACAATTTATTGTTGCTCATAATCATATCAATGTATTCATTACACGGTTTTGTAAATTTTCACTCTCCCATATTGTTCATTATGGTTTTTGATATATTCAATATAGGCGTTGCATCATTTCGATTGCACTTGTTTGGTGTTGATTCGGTGGACAAAGGACCAGGTGATCGACTTATTTTTGTTTACCTAACTATATTACCTGTTTAACACTTTTATCCGTATCCCACGCTATTGTTGTGATTACATGCAAGTGAATGCATTGTGTACTGTTTGAGGTTTTTTCCAGATTATTTAACTCAGCAGACACAATTATTCTAGCTCTAAATAAATTCCCACGCACCGATAATGTAACAGACCCCGATCAGCTCGTTTGACCTATGTAATTGACCTTCTGGCGTTAATCCGATTAATATACTATAATATATTCGCGTCATCACTTTCTACAGGGTGCTAGACGCTGTGTCTATGGCCAAATACAAACAATGTTGTATAAAAAGCACAAGTGAAGACTTGAAAGAAAAAAAGTGAATTGTAGGAGAAGTCGAACTTTGAAGTATGTGAAAAAAAAACGCGAGAGTACGTGTAACCGCGCAAAGCGTGTATCAAACAATCGGAAACCAATATTCAATCATACACCGGCAAATGTTCTGTAAACTATACGTGAACATCAGTATCTGTAAAACTACAATAAGGGTACATGAATTAATTTTATAAGCCTTCGCAGTTAGAGTTAATACAGTAGGGTCACCACTTCACAGTCATTACATAATATGTAGTAAATTACATTATTTTTCTTGACTTCAGAAGACCTGGACTTCGCACGTGAGTGATTTGTGTCTTATGTTACACAAACTCGAAAACTTGAAGGCGAAAACCAACAAACTAGCTGAAGAAGCGAGGCAGACAGCGAAGACAAGACTCCAGGTGAACATAGAGAAGACGCAGGTGATAAAGATAACCAACAAACAGCAACAACAATAACAACAACCGGCACCAATCACCATCAACGGGAGAAACCTGAAAAAAGGTAACTCCCTTCACTTATCTAGGAAGCATCGTCTCAACTACAGGCAGTCAGCACGGATGAAGATGTAAAAGATTTGCAGAGTAGGAAAGGCAAGATACACCTTCATCAATCTCCAATCGGTTTGGAAATCTTCTGCACTCCGCCTCAGAATGAACAACAAGATTTGGATTTTCAACACCAATGTCAAGTCAGTCAGTTCTTCTATATGGGTCACATTACAGACTTTTATCAACAGCTGGCTCTATATTGAAGATAAAATGTCCAGCCAGCCGGCCAGAAAGAATTAACAACAAGAAACTCTGTGGACAAACTAACCGAGTGAAACTTTTTCACTTTGTGCTAAATATGGCGCTGAAGATGTTGCCCAGAAGGACGGCGAAAGCTTCGCAACTAAACCAACCAGCTCAGAGAACACTTTTAATTGCAAATCATCCACCTGAGCTACAAATCATCTCTATTATTTCATAACCAAGAAACTACTGTTCAACAAATAAGTAGAGGAACATGGAGATGGATATGTATAACTGTATTTCTTGATGACTTTGATTTCGATTGGTTCGTGGTGAGAGCTGTCTGTAAGCCAAAATTGTAGACAACAATTTACGTCCCAAATCGGGTCATTAGAAAAAATAATAATAACAAAGGCTAACTTGAAGAACCCACCAACCAATCACAGCGGACTTAACGTGTGCAAATACGATTCGCAGAAACGGTCACAAGCAGTATAGAATGACCTTCAGCAAGAAGACAACCAATCAGAAGACGTTGCTTCTCTGCTAACAATAACGCTAATAATAATGTACATAAAAATCTATAAATATCTGTTGATTTTCTCAATAAATGATCTGTTGTCTGGCCCTTGTCTTCTGTCGTTCCACTACTATTATTGTCGTTATGAGCAATACTAACTTAATGCAACTAACGAAAACTGATCTAATTGTTTAACACACTGTCAATCACAACCGCCATGATCAGCACAAAAACAATGTCACAGTCACGCAAAAACAAACGAGAGAGAGGGAAGATGGACGGTTCACAAAAGAACTTTTACTGTCCTTTAAACAACAATCAAAATAGTTGAAAAGAAGATTGCTGAATACATATATTTTGAAAAACCTTAAAATATTCAACAATCGATGAGAGTACATGCAGCCAATAAAAGAATGACTAGGAAATAATAGACTTCAAGGTGTATCTTTTCAAAATAAAAATAAAAAACGTGCAACGATATATAGGATATCCCCTCACCTCAAATATACCCCAGTTTGAGCTATAAGCGTCAAGATAGAAGTAAAGTCGAAAAATCCCTGATGCTGTAATAGACTAAATATATGTATATACTAGCAGAAAATCATGATGCCTACTATCTAAATATGGCTATTTTTTTCATTCATTCACGTGTTTATTTTTACAGGATGGGGTTGCTAGCCTCATGCCCAACCTTCCCTTTTTGCCAGTTCTGTTACTAGCTTAGAGAGGTAAAGGAGTGCATCGGCTGGGGATCGAACCCCGGACCATTTGCATGGTCGGCGAGCATCTTAACCACTGTGCCACCGACGCAAAATATGGCTATTAAACAATATTTATTGCTATATAGACTAGCGGGAAGACTTCTGAAACCGTCCAAAAAATACCTCAAATTATTATCTGAGAAATCTACATCACTTATGTCATTGAGTAAATATAACAACGGACTATCGCGCTCCAACTAGGGTGGTTGGTTGGATATTCCATAAACCCACTCAAAAATAAAAACACCACCTACGGCGGAAAAAATGAACAGTAATCAAAATGACACTTCAGCAGTGGAATTCGAAATAACACATGAGAGAGGGAATAATAATAATAAAGACAAAATTAGTGAATATCTTTTTGATATGTATCTGTCGCCAATTTGGATATGATACACTCGTAGTTCCACTAACGGATTTTCCACCTAGTCGATTCAGTAGCCTATTGTTCTAACCACTATTAGCAACAACAATGAAAACATCAACACGATACGATACCGCCGAAAACGCGAGGCAACAAGACAAGAAGAGAAGACTGACTGTTGACGTGGAGAGCTGTCTCGTATCAACAGTGAAAATAATTGACAGTACTTACGTATATATACATATATATATATATATGCTTTAAAATGACACTAATGATAGTGATTAATTAAAACAGTCAACAACCAATGGGAGTTCAAAGGTCATAAGTGGGGTCAGAGGAATACAAACAGATGTGTAAAAAGAACATGTAGAAAATTAGGTCTATAAATCACTCTTACACGCGTCGGTGGTAGAGGTAGAGGTAGAATGCTCGCCAACCACGCATGTAGCCCAGGGCTCGATCCCCATCCGGCACACTTCTAAGCCTCGCTAAGCCGGTAGTTAGAGCGGTAAAGGGAGAAGGTTGGACGTGAGGTTAGCACCCCCCCTCACCTCGTAAAAATAAACATCAAGTGCTACCGAAACTTCAAAGCTCTAGATTAAAGCCCTGTGTCCCACTGGGGACGTGAAGGAATGAAATAAGTAATAATGAATAAATATCACTTTAACGCCTGGTAAAAAACAAATACTTTTGTACTGCTACTGTATACAGACAGTCACTACAAGTTTCTAACCCCTCCACTTTTACTTTTTCAGGTGGTGGTTAGTCTACATTATTCTGCGCAACAACTAAGACCGAAATAGTTAGACGCTTCATGAGTAGGTGAAGTTTTTGGCCTTTCATTTGACTGACTCCATCAGTTTGTTCTTTTCCTAGTGGAGATTCACAATCTAACTGACTAATGTGTTAACCATACCTAGTAGTATTCTACGCTCTAACCTCTATGTTGTCCACCTCAAGCAGCTCTGTCACACGCATACACACACACAAAAAAAGAAATGCTACATAAGTACCTATTACAAAAGAACACTAAAGGTCTTCTGTATTTTATCATACTGTTCATCACTAACTGTCGAAAATCACACATATAACAAATACTTAAAACTGACTGACTGCGTCTCAAAGCAGAAATGAAACAGTTCAACTTGCTACACTCCATGTAGCACAACAATACTGTAAAGAACAAATTCAAAGAAGCAATAACGAGCAGCAGAGTACAGGAGAAAGAATAATGACATGAGGAAACAGGAGAACTTAATGGATCTGCAAAATTACAAAGAGTGAATACGTCTGAGCCACTGAGAACAATTTTGAGTCATATCACTAATAATCTTTACCAATTTGCTTCTTAGCATCATGATATGGCTCAAAACGACATTCAATGACTTCAAGGATTTATCCCATGTTTTAATTTGAACACTCCTAACTCTTAATATATTACCAAAGGTGGTGGTTCTGCATCCAAACGATGCAGCTCCATACCATCGATTGACCTCTCCTTCTTTACCTAATACCCTCTAAACCTAAGCTAAAATACAAATTATCATATTGTATCACTTAGTATAGGAGATAGGATGTACACTTAACTTAATACAATGATCTTTTTATGATTTGTATTATATAATCTTCGCT